AATGGTGTCGATGAAATTTTTTATCTGCCTGACAGAATCAATATTTAAAATTGACGCTGCTGTTGGTAGTTGCGCCTCTGTAGATTCTGTAGACTCTGCTGATTATAGTTGCTGGTGCTTTAAAATTTTTAGCGAGTTCACCAGAAAAAATTTTGTTGGGTTTTTAATTTTTTGTTTGTTTTTGTTCTTGTGTTTACGATTATTTAATGCACTGTTTTTTTTACGTATCGCACACTAAGTTCTCCGTTCACAAGAACCGTTTAAGCTGATGTTAAAGGCCTCAAGCATGCCTTACTACGATTAAAAAAATGGGTAATATAGCTACCTTTAGCTTTATTTCAAGACCCTAAGGTGCTCTTTATTAAAAACAAAAAAGATTCTTTTATATCTTTTTGCTTGATGTATTATTCTCTATTCCTTACCACGGGTGGGGGGGCATTTTTCATTTTGCTACCTTTAGAATTTAAGGAGCTGGTTTATAACTCTGAGTCTCTAACCACTGGGGGGAAAACTACAGAGCGCTTCGAAGGACCGAAATGTAAGAGCGATCTAATAAAAGACGTCTACATTTGTTGAGTTATCATTTCATGAAGTTTCTTAACAAGTAACATTGGTGTGATTCGTATTCTATTCTTATCTATGGCCTACGCAGAGACCGCATCTGATTTGCCCTGGGCGGGAGAGCTATATTTTGACCCCCGCGTAAGTCTTTTGTGTAGCGTGGAAAACATTTCAAGTGATTATATTTTGAGGCTCAAGTGGCCTGCACTTGCAGATTACAAGTGTACAAGTGATTACAAAGGTTCCCTCGCATGGTTTAGGTAGCAGATCGTAAATTATGGCTCTGGCTCGATTTACAATGTGACATGCACGAGCTCATAAAATCTTATAATTGGGATTATTATCTTATTTCTAATAACCCACGGAGTGGCTTGTTTGTCCCTAAATTGGGAAAATATTCTTAAGTGCGATAAGGGAGATCACAAATACCCTGATTGCACTTAAACTCAAAGACATTCTGTGACCGTTCCGCCGGAGGTCATTTTACATTTTATGTGTATATATTTTGTTTTACACAAGTGGCTGCTATACTTATATTAAGACGTGTTCTAGTATCTGCGGTCATTACTGAATTATGTATGGTCTTTTTAAAAGTAAAAAATCACTTAAAAATTTCTTAAAATATTTAAACAAAAATTATTTCTCATACAATGACAAAATAATACTTAAAATGTTTAAGTCCAATTTAAAAAATTAAAAGATTTTTAAAGATTTTTAAAAGATAATTAATTTAGTTTTTTAAATGTTTCAGTACGATACAATCGTTGGCTTCACTTATAATATCTAAGCATAAGACTAACGGCTTCTTTTTTTAGTACAGGCAGCATATGACACTGGCAAGTGTCTGGTCCAGACGGGGCATCATCATCGCTCCAGGGACAAAGTTTGTAATGGAATCCAAATTTAGAATGAATTAGCTCCTTCTCCTCCAAATCCTCCAGATAAGCCTTTAGGTATTTAAGCCTCTCCAAGTGTTGTTGGAAAAGCATGACTTTAAATGGCAACAAGAAGACTTCAATTTGTTGAGCGTACATTTTACGATAGCTTTAAATGAATGAATGCTGATGCCTTTATATTGAAAAAATTCACTTATTCTCTTCCTCTTTTTTGATAAAAATTCTATTTGCGCACAACTATATCTATTTATATTCCTTTATATATCATATGAGTAATTGCGTTCAAATTTAATTTCCTATAAGGTGTCTTAGGACCAAATTTGGTTACATAACTTTTAGGTAAAAATATCCAGACATCTTTATTGTCCTTGTCTGTAAAATATAGATCTACTTTGGTTCCATATGGTGTCTATTTTAACTTGCATCCAGTGATCTTATACTCGAATCCAATACATAGACTTTCAATTTTTGTAAAACAATCACAGGCTTCAATTCGTTCAACAAAATGACTTAATGTTTTATTTATCGTTAATATATATGCATACCATTTTTGAACAGCGCTAGATTTGATTTCATGTGGTCTAGTACCTAACAGTTGATGACTAATTGGTTTACCTTAGATTACGTGGTCTTTAGGAAATAGTTACAAAAATTTTACATATTTCAAACTATGTAATGCTTTCATATTTATATTATTATATCCCTCTCTCTTTTTATAAATAAGTTAATAGTTACGATTACAACATAAAGACAACATTTTTATTTTATCGTCCCATACAAGTTGGCTCAAAACATCTTGAGTGGTCCTGCCCAATGGAAAATCGCTCCACTCAAGGGAGCCATAGTCAGCTCCAATAGGCTCCGTTCGGGTTGACATTGTAGTCAGCTCCAATAGGCTTCGTTCGGGTTGACATTGTAGCAGGCGCAAACACACCTCGTAGAAACAGATCAACCGAATCCTGAGGGTCGGAAGCATCCAGAGCTTCTATCTCGTCCTCGGAGTCGATGAATTTATTTACTGGCTATATCTAGATATATCATAAAACTAAACAAAACAAGTTAAAAAATATTTAACTAAAGAATAACGCACTAATTGCTTGTTGGAACTGAAGTCGAACCGCATGCTAGGTGGTAAAGAATTATATAGTCGAAGTGTACTACAAATAGGCTCATAAAGGGCGTAACTAGTCCTAAAATGCTTAATAAAAATTGGTTCGTGAGAACGTAAAGACCTGCATGGCACACAAAAGTCTATTTTGAAAAGCATCGCAGGGCAATCTAGGCTGCCAGCAAGAAGGTCATTCAGGATAAGTAAGGCTTGTATTTTCCTACGGTCTTCAAGGCTAGAGAGATGGACAAGACGACATCTGCTAGAGTAAGATTGCAAAGGGTCAGCAAAATTAGGCCAAGAAAGAGCAAATCTGAGAAATTTGTTTTGAATGCGCTCAATTCTATTAACGTGCGAAGAAGCCGTAGGGTTCCAAATGAAAGAGGCATAATCTAGTTTGGAGCGCACAAATGCTGAATAGAGTGCAAGTTTAGTATAAGGGTCAAAATACATACTATTTCGCCTAACAAACACAAACATAGCATAGACTTTGGGTATAAGGTGCCCAGAAAAACTAAATTTACAATCAAACAAGACCCCGAGGTCTAAAGACTCACGTTGGTGTGGCAAAAGCTGTGAGTACAATGAATAGGGACTTAAAATATCAAAAGTGCGTTTACTATACCTGACGAAATAGCATTTATTTAAGTTAAGTGGGTGCAAATTATTGACACACCACGCACCAACGAGGTTAAGGGTAGCTTGAAGCAGGCTGGTGTCAGCTACTGAACGGATAGATCTAAAGATCTTAATATCATCAGCATATAAAAGATATTCAGAGTTCATAAAACAGCAGGAAACGTCATTAATAAATATTATAAAAAGAAGAGGATCAAGGGCACTACCTTGAGGAAGGCCTGAAGTTGCAACAAACGGGCAAGAAAGATTACCATTAATGTTGACCCGATAGATCCTCCGATCCAAATATAATATAATTAATTTTAGCAACAAGGGATGAAATCCCAATTGCCGAAGCTTTGCGAAAAGTGCTTTATGGCAAACTTCTTCAAATGCTTTTGCAAAATCTAAGTAGATACCATCCACCTGATACGGACGTTGAAATTCATTGAGACAATAATTACTAAAAACAGCTAAATTTGAGTGCGTCGGACTGCCACAATAACTCTGCCACCTCCTTGAACGGTGCGTTTTCTTAGCATCCCTATCTTTAAGATAGATCAGGAACTGGTTCGAATCAAAGAACTCGTCTCAACTAAAATAATCACATAAAAGTTGCAGGTAGAAGTTATCAAATAAACCAACTCAGCCTTGGTGCGCATGCCTGATATATTTTGGAAGTATGTCTTAAGAGAATCCTTCTGGCCAGCTATAGGTGCTCGCGTATGTGGCACCGCAGGAAGATTGCAAGAATAAGTTGCAAGCACAATCACTGAACCAGAAGCGTCCTGTCCAGTTTCTGACTGAGGCTTGTAGACTCCACAGATTGCCTTTAATAACGATGAAAGTTTTACATTTATTTTATCCTCTTCCTGAATTGGCGAAAAATGCATAGGGTTATGCTGTTCCGATGATAAGGTGTATAATAACTCGGGCACATAGCTATAATCAATAGAGTAAGAAGGCAGCCTCGTAGATACCTACTTATGCAGATAGTGATCTGAGAATATATCCGAAGAGCATCGTCAACGCCCGGCAACAGTGAGAATGATACGAGAATGCGCCTTAAGAGTTCGATGTCATCAGATCCAGCATGCGAAGAAAAGTTCCAGGTCGGAAGAGCGGCGAAGACTGAAGAGAGGCCAACTCCAAAGAGCGCAATTAGAACAGCATCATATCCAGCGCTTGAGCGATGCTCATGTAAAGTGGACAGCGATAAGAACTCCCGATGAAACTGTTGTTGCATTGGAGCGGAGCAAAGCGCAACGAAGAGCGCGTTCAGCATTATTGTCAAAGCCGAACCAGATAATTGTTCCGAAGTGCACCAGACGGACAACAATTGTGTATTGTTGTGTATTGTGTGTTGTTGGTCCGTTTAAAGAGCACGATCATCGCACAAAGCGGGCGGAGAAAAATGCAGCTGTTCATGTTGGTCCAGCTGAAGAACATCGGAACGAGAGGAAAACTCTCTGAGAAAAGCACTGCAAGCCGAAGTCATAGCAGACAGCTGTTGTTGTTGCAAGGGAAGAGCAGGCAGATGAAGAGTTGGGTGTAAAAATTGCCCCGCAACGAAATCAGCGCCAGTAGCGCCAATTAATGGGGGTTGGAATGGATGGAACCTGTGCCAGAGCCACAAACTTCAATACAGCAGGCAGTCTGTGACCTATGTGGGAGGCATCCGATTGTATCTCGTCGCCGGGCAGGAGTCCTTAGGGTCTCTGCTACATGTATTAGCTATTCTAGGCGATCGTCAGAACGCTAAATGGCACTGATAAGTTCCTGCTGTTAACGACCTGTACAATACGGAAGACAAATTATAATTTTTGTATATACAATTTTATTTATGTCATTAATTACAAACAGGCAAATCGCATACGAAAGGCGTTTTTGCGGCCACTACTTGTTAGCTGCTCCAGATTCCGGTGGCCACCGCAACTCTGTGGCTGTGTTGGCTGCCATATTTCTGTTGGCTGCCATATTTCTGTTGGCTGCCATATTTCTGTTGGCTGCCATATTTCTGTTGGCTGCTTAATTATTTTCAATACAATTGTACAGTCATTAATATACATGCTAAAAGTACACGAAAGATAAATTAATAATGTTTTTCTATGCAATTGTATTAATGTAAATAATTACATACATAACGCCCCTAATAACGCAATAGCTTCTTCCTGCTGTGGTGCTATGTTGATGCTGGCCTCTACACAAAGCAGCGCCAAACTGCCAGATTTGCTGCCTGCGCCGGCTGCGGTCACCGGCGACCACCACTTGGCTGCTGCTTCAGCCTCTGGTGTCCAATACCACACTGCTGCTGCGATGAAGGCCATGTTCCGGTTGGATGCTTCTGCGTTGGAAGTGGGCTGCTTCTCCGCTTACTCTGCAGCAGTTTTGCTGTGGTTGCTCCCGAGCCCTGCCAGCTGATTCCCTTGGATTAGCGGCGAGGAGCCTTCAGCGCCGACTGCCCTGTTGGCGGATTCTTGGCGTCCACTACCTGAGTGGCTGCTCCAGCCTATGATGACTGCGTCCACTGTGTCGATGCGGTGGCTGCCCTGCTCCTGGTGCCTATTTGAGGATGTCTATTTGAAGATGGTGCCTGGCCCCATCACATTCGTTACATCTATTGCTGGGGCTGCTGAAAAAAAAGAGGAAAGAAATTGTATTGTTATTGCTTTGTTTTTTTTTTCAACTTAACATCTGTTTCGGTAAGCGCCAAGCTGTGTCTTGGGTCTGGCAATCTGTTTTTGTTAACGTATGCTTTCCTATTTATATGTTAAAGCAACGCCATGTTATGTTTAAGGAAGTTGCCATGTGGTATTAAGTTAAATAAAATGTTGACGCTCTGTTAGTTTTGCAGTGCCGTCAGACTGATCTATTAAACAAAAAAAAAATAAAAGTACAAAGTGGAAACTGAGAAAGCTACAAACCATCATGGCGCCAAAACCAAACGCGTCCTAAACACTCACACATACACAAAGCAAAAGAACAAGCTCACCACTCTCTCTCATCTTACTTCTCTCCCGCTCTCAAATGCTTACAAACACAGTATAGGCGCGAAAAGCAGCGTCACAAACACACCAATACAAGACATCACATCAATAGACATCCCCACCTCTCCAGACACACACACAAACAATAAAAACAAAAAAACCACAAGCACACACTCAACACTTCTCTCACTAAACGAACATGGCGAAATAAACTGGTGCTCACAAGACTCCGACGCTAGCAAATGTAAAATGACTGTCACACTAACAAACATAAATACCCACACTTCAAATACATCAACCACACCCAACCCTAAAGACAAAATCACCGAATGCATCAACAAAAATACCAAAACTGACACAGAAAAATCAAACAAAACAGCAAAAAACATAGAACCCATCCCTGCTCAAACGGACGTCTAGCAACCTTCCCCCCATCCCTCAGAAATATTCCAAATGGCTCTCTAGTTGATCCGGAAACACTAACAAATATTAGACCAAATAAACATCATACCAAATCTTCTGTGAGGAGTTGAATAACTCTCCACAAGTTAAGAAGCATGCAGAGTAAACGCATGCAAGCAGTGGCCTACCAGTTACGCGGCGAATTCGGCCGTAGTAACGGTAGTGCGGCGGACTATAGCGTCGGGCAAATACCATGAAACAAGGGGGTACAGTGACCCAGGCCACGAGGCAAACTGATTCTGCGTCGGGCATAAAGCCAGAGTCATCAGTAAGGCGCCGCATGGAATATTGAAGGAATGCCCGACGGAAATAGCGGGAGGGTCATAAGGAATGACCAAGAACCGAGTCATCGTCAGGAAAAAAGAAAGTCAAGATGAGTACACGCGTTACTAGAGCCGAGGCCCGCAGGAGGATGACTGCCGAGGTCTCGGCAGGATCCGGACCGGGGCAAGGACGGTCGGAGGACAGGCCTGTCGTCCGGCCCCCCGAACCCCGCGACGGACCCCACTGAGCCGACGACGGTCGGAGGCATCATCGCCGGCGCCCATTGTCAGCTCGGACAGTGACGTGGAGACCAGGACGTGGAGACCAGGACGTGGCGGAGTATTCCCCATGGCTCGGAGAGCAGGGTCCACCAGGACTCTGCCGACTGCGACCATGCGGCCGAGGTCCGCAGAATAGCGGCCGTAATAGCGGAGCACCGCCGCCGGCATGAGCGGAGGCAGCTAGAGGCTGCGCTCGAGGAGGCCCGCCAGCGCGAAGAGCAGGACGCGCGGGCGAAATGGGAGGCGGCGCTAAAGACTGCCGAAGAGGCGGAGCGCCGGATATGGGGCGACCCAATCCTCCTCGAGGAAGTGCCTCCCCAGGCGGAGGGGACGCCCGAGGTTCCCCCGACCCCGAGGTACATCGCGGAGCCGAGGGAAAGTGCAGCGGACCCAGCGGAGGAGGAGTACAACCCTCCATCCCAACCCCCCATGGACGCCGGCACGCCCACCCACCCCGAGGTATTGCCCCCCAGTGGGAAGAGGCGGAACAAGAGGAGGAGCAGCGGCAGCAGGAGGGGTCTCCGGGTTACGTCCGGATGGACATCCCGGTGGCCCACGTCAGCCATACGTTCGGCTCCTTCGAGGCGGAAGGACGCGTGTGGATGCAGCACGCCGTCACATGGACGTGGCCCGACGAAGCCACTGCAGTAACAGAGGAGGAAGGAGCCCGAGTGTGGGAAACTGTCGCGATCCACGGTTGTGGAGGACCGCAGTCCCACGGACCCCCACCGGAGTCGTGATGCCGACCCGACCCCAACCCCATCCCCACTGGCCTCTCCGGAGGTAGTCGCCGGCCAGCAGGAAAGGGTTGAGCAGGTAGGCAGGCCTCAGCGCCGGACTCGAGGCGCTCAGGTGAACTGGCCGGAAGGCATCGCCGAAGCCCCAGCGGTCATAGCAGCACGGAGACGGGGAGGAAAACGGTGCGTCCTGGTGCAGCAGGGCGGCCGCACGTTCCGGGTGCGGGTCGGACCAGTGGGGGTCAGGGTGTTTACCCAATAATAAAAAAAAAAAAAAAACACAAAAACTCACATTTGCACTGTGCAGAACACAGTAAAAATATACAAAAGGGACGAGAGGTCCAACCGAAAGGGGTGGGGGGTGATGCGAAGCACGCGTCGTCTAATTGTTGTGCAGTTTTTCCGTCTTCAGGCAATGGAAATGCTGAAAGAAGCGGAAAGAAAAATCAGATCGGATTATGGAAACAAACGGCTCACTTACGAGAAGTCGAGAAAGGGCCAACCGAGCGGGGGGGATGCAGGAGGAAACGCATTACACTCTTCGTCGGGTCCAGAGCGCTGAAAAAGAGAAAAGAACAGAGAGAAAGGAGAAAAGGAGAAATTAGAAAACTTACCCAGAGAAAATGTCCTCATCTGTCCAAAGGAATGGGGACGCTTCGAATTATGGCCGATTGGCGCTACGCGACAGTGTCGATCGGTGGGCACAAAATACTGGAAATATCGGCACAAGGAGTCACGCTGTGGAACATCGATAACATCGGGTGGCAACGCCACGTTGGGTCACGGAACCGATAACAATTGGAGACCGATCGGTTGGGCGGAGAGTGACCATACAGCGGAGAGACACACGGGAGAATATCGATAACACCGATAACGACTGCAGACCGATCGGCACGACGTAGAGTTACCATCCGACGGAGAAGACAAACCACGGAGATCGAGAAAATCATAGGGGAAAACGTCTGGGCGGGAATTTAGAGTATACGGTTATATTTGCACGGAGCTACGCCTTGAGTTCTGATGGGTACTAAATTTCCCACTAAGCGCGAATTACCGACCAGTCGGTAGGCCCCCGGCCAAACCTCCAAGAGCTACCCTAGAAATGGTACGCTGACCGAGCGGCCACACACACACCCACACTTACGGGTGTAAGTAAACATATTTCGATACGGCAACGACCCACTTGAGCCGCTGCTCCGCTGAGTTATGCTGACACTGCAACAGGATACCCCGACCCCTCGCCACTGGAAATATAACACGAGCAGCCACTGCCACAGTTTTCGGAATAAACACTTTTTATTTCATTTGGAATTAGTGTATAAGCATTTATGTTTTATGTACACATTCGGCAGCAGCAGCTAGTTGGCCACCGCTGAAATATATACACTTCAGTCTAGAATTTAAACTCAACTCCAACGGTTAAACTTTTCCTTTACCATTTGCTTACTTAAATTCTAATTAACAACCAACTACTCTATAAAAAAGGAAGTCACCACTGATCGGGACACAATACCCCCCTCTCTGGCGGAGAACTCTAACTATAACTGGCGCAACCGAGCTACGAACTAGGAAAGAAAGACAAAATGCCAAGTTTTTTTTTGTAAATTGTCAAAAATATCTGTGACAAATGCAACATGGGAAAACAAACGAAGAAAGTTAAAAAAAAAATATAAGTTAACACCGGCTAGCGCCCCCTTCCCTTCACCCCCTCTCGACATCCACGATACCCGACGACGACCCTTCTCATTCAACCCCTCGGCCACCCACATCGTACACATTCAATTCGAGTGGCCACACAGCGACAACATTACGCTCAAGTGGTCACATGAAGACGACACCAACTCAAGTGGCTGCAATGACCCGGCCGCTGGGCCTCAAGAGCTACAGCGGCAGCACCAGCAATAGCGACAGCGGCAGCACCAGCAATAGCGACAGCAGCAGCACCAGCAATAGCGACGGCGGCAGCGGCAGCAGCAGCTAAACAGCGGCAGAGATGCAACAGCAGCGATGCAGCGGCAGCGACGCGACGATGGAGACAGAACGACAGCGGCAGCGCGAGAACGACAGCGGCAGCGCCAGAACGTCAGCGGCAGAAGAGCAACGGCAGCAACAAGCAAGCGAAAGACTGTTGACCGCCCGCTAGCTGCCTCAGCTCAACAGCCGCCGCCCCTACCACTGCGCTAGATAAAATGCAGCGCTCACATCCGGAGCGCAACAAGCGGAACAACCAAAACCGCTGCCGTCGGCTACGGTACTTCCGCGTCTGCCAACGGCAGCGACGCCGGAGGACCGGAGTTGGTTAAGAGGCCAACCCACTAGTATTTAAGAGCGCACTTCTGTAACCACCGTAGTACCGTGCGGACTGAATATTAGATTATAAAAATAAACTTATAACGTAATCCGAAAGTAAAGGTTGCCTTCCTTAAGTACCAAAGAGAACGAGTGAGCAAGTGAGATGCAGCTGATAAACAACACGATAAGGTAGTATAGGGGAGCTTCGTATATATATATAGTGACCAGTGTTGGGGTGTATCTAGGTACTTGTACCTAGGTATGTACCTAGGTAATTTTTTTCGGTATCTTTTACCTTACCTAGGTAAAAAAATATTTGGCTACCTTTTACCTTACCTAGGTACGAATTTTCGTTTACCTTAAGTTTTAGCTATGTAAGGTATTTAGGTACTTCCATACGTGTATGTAAATATTGTGCATATTAGAAATAGCCCTGCTTCACAGCAATGCAATCGAAAACTTAGAAATATGATAGTTCCACCACTTACTCACAGAGGTCTTTATGGTAAGAATGCAAAAATATTTTCCGTTGGAATTTGGTATAATGCTAAATTAGCAATGCCGTTGCTTCCTAAACAGTGCACTTTTGTCGATGACATTGGTTCCTAGAAAACGTCACAACAAATCTTAAAATGAGCAAAGAAGACGCAGAAAAAAAGGAGCTACCATTAATTTTAAATGGTACTTTCTTTTTACCGGACGGGAAGTGCAAACTGTGTGTGAACAAAACTATCAAATTTGATGAAAAGTCAACCGGCAACTTGCATAAACATCTGAAGGTAAGTGAACTGTGAAGTGAATTGATAAATTAATTTTCGCGCGAAAAAATGCATGTGCGTAGACATGCACATGTGCTTTTAAACATATGTATATATGTGCTTATTCATACATTTATGTGGTGCAGTCATCAATGTGAATATGACCATATGTATGTATTTATGTATAGATTGTGCCTATTTCATTAAAACATTTAAACAATCATAGCATGAAGCAGCACGATTCCCGCAATTTTTTTTAATGCACCTTCGAATTATTTGAGTATGTGAACAAGCACATATTTATGTATGCATCATATATGTATGAATATGTGCTTATTGGAGTGTATGTTTAAATGTAAATGTGCATATCTATGCACATGCATTTTTTCGCGCGAAAATTATTTTCCATAAGTTTAAATAATCTAAATGTGCATTTTAATAAGAAATTGACGGATACATAAATACATACATATGGTCATAATTTTATGGACATAGATGGGGTGGTCATTCTTTATTTTTATTTTTTATTTTCCACCAAAAAATGTAAAACTATTTTTTTTTATTAAACCACATTTTTATAAATATATGTATGACTAAGCACATAATAATGTTTAAATTAAACAAGTATAATGAAGACATTAAAACATTATGAAACTTTTTTTCAGAGGGTTCACCCGAACAGTTATTCTTCGCATGAAGCTTTGAAAGCGAAAAATTCAAAAATAGAAGTGAAAATTTCCGGTGATCTCAAAAAAAGAAACCAATGTGACTTATGTTTATATCTTTGTATCTCAGAAAAAGAAACTGATAATAAAAATTTCAAATTTAAAAAATTTTTAAGTTGTTTTTTTACCTTTTACCTTTACCTAGGTACAGAAGAAATTGCATACCTTTTACCTTACCTAGGTACAGATATTTGCAACTACCTTTTACCTTACCTAGGTAAAAAAAAATGGTACCTGTCTCAACACTGATAGTGACATGCCTATATACCCAGTACTTTATGTATCCACTATATACCCTATGCTACCCTAGAATTATACACCCTTGTAACAAGAGCCCAAAATCGAAGGACAACGGAAAATCCCCAAATGTCAGTCCCAGCTTATCACCCAAACAACTCACCCCAATTGTCACCCCAACTCGCAGACACATAAACTCCTATTTCAATCCAAAGACATTTCAAAGTCGTAAAATCTAAGAGCGCACTTGTATCTAAGAGTCAAGACACTTGAATCCAAGAGTAATTAAAGTTTCACTCAAAAGAAACTGAAAGTTTCTCAGAACAATTTCACAACTCACTCAAATCCCCAAAAGCTCGAGACCGAGGTTTGATCATCAACAGAATCAGATCAGCAAGTTAAGTTCAGTTTGAGACCTCAATCTAATAGGTCGGTGTTCTTCACTAATAAGTTAAAACTCTGTAACCATCAATTGAATAAAAAAAAATTATATTTTTTTATTTAATCGGAGTTGCAAACTTATAATTGGCGCAGTCGGTAGGATCTAAAAATAAAGTCCTTTTAAATACGGTACTGATCAATAAATAGATATACTAAACAACTAGTTATCTTGATCAGCGAATTGAATAAAGTGCACTTAAAAGATCCGCAAAAGAATCTACGTGACGTAAAACCTACGAGTGGTCAAAAGACATCCAAAAAATCCAATTCGGTCAGAAATAAAAAAACATTCTGAAAATAAAAATAAAATCTACGTGACGTAAAACCTACGAGTGGTCATAAGACATCCAAAAAATCCAATTCGGTCAGAAATAAATAAACATTCTGAAAATAAAAATAAAATCTACGTGACGTAAAACCTACGAGTGGTCATAAGACATCCAAAAAATCCAATTCGGTCAGAAATAAATAAACATTCTGAAAATAAAAATAAAATCTACGTGACGTAAAACCTACGAGTGGTCATAAGACATCCAAAAAATCCAATTCGGTCAGATATAAAGACATATTAAGAAGCCCAAATACAAGCCTCCTGTCTTGGGCTTGGCAGTTCAACAGTAATCTGAGATCCATCTAAACCAATTACTGGGTCAGATCAAAGAACTACAGTACTTCGATGGAACACCAGGAAAACTCTCAGGGTTCATCAATGGAGTCAAATATTTACTACAACTGTATCCAACCCAAGAACTAAGACAGGCACACATCATTTTCGGAGCAATCAGAAGATTGGTAGTCGACACAGCAGCAGAAACCGTCGCACAATCTGGAGCTAATAACTGGGTGACAATGAAGACAGCTTTAGCCGTCGCCCTCAAAGATCACAGGCCCTAGAAACAATCATCAAGAAGCTGGCTGAAACACAATTCAATGGGAGTCTTAGTAAGTTTATAACAGAATTAGAAAAACAATATAGGAATGTCTTCGACAATTTGGAATTAGAATCTGATCCATCAGATAAAATAAATTATACAAGAATTATATCATTGATCGAAAACTTATACAGTCCCGTAACACTCTGAATATACCCATTACTTTACGTATCCACAATATACCCTATACTACCCTAGAATTATACACCCTTGTAACAAGAGCCCAAAATTGAAGGACAACGGAAAATCCCCAAATGTCAGTCCCAGCTTATCACCCAAACAACTCACCCCAATTGTCACGCTCACACGTTCAAAGATAATCTAAGTTCGGCTCGCAGACACATAAACTCCTATTTCAATCCAAAGACATTTCAAAGTCATAAAATCTAAGAGCGCACTTGTATCCAAGAGTCAAGACACTTGAATCCAAGAGTAATTAAAGTTTAACTGAACAATTTCACAACTCACTCAAATCCCGAAAAGCTCGAAACCGAGGCTTGATTGTTAACAGAATCAGATCAGTAAGTTAAGTTCAGTTTGAGATCTCAAACTAATAGGTCGGTGTTCTTCACTTATAAGTAAAAACTCTGTAACCATCAATTGAATAAAATAAAATTATATTTTTTTATTTAGTCGGAGTTGCAAACTTATAATTATATATATATTTCTTGTGGTAATTTTGTTTTTGATTAAAAAAAAAAGAGAAAAGAATAAGACATAAAATAAAGATTGCACAACTATATGGAAAATTAGTATTCATTGAAATAGTTTTACGATCCCATCGCGGGTTTTGTAAGAACGTCAGTTACAAAAATTATGGCAAATGTTGTAAGCTGGTTTCATGTCGATTGAGCTCTAAATTAAATAAAAAAATAATGGAAGAAAAGAAACAAATTAAATGAAGCAAATTCGAGTCCAATAATTTCGAAACAATCCTTGCAATCCCATGGCTCGTTTTGTAAAGGTTGTTCATCTTCAAGGAAATTCAATTGGCACTTAATGTCTTAATAAAAAAAAGAGAATATTTTCTTGTTTATAAACATATATGGAAAGATATACAAAAATTGAGAAAAATACAAATTCTACACCTTCACAGGTAAATTGCCATAAGTATACAACACCTGAGGGACACTACTCCACAGACGCATCAACTCACAATATATAAGAGAAATATAAAATAAATTTAAGCAATTACACAGAATACAGGTACTAAGAGCAGATTTTCTTTCGCAAAAAGTAAAGAGCCTACTACCGACTAATACGATTAATACTAGAGGCGGTAGTAAGAATCAGACCCCTAGCGAACCAACACCTCAGGAAAATTCCTTATCCCTAAGACAAATTATTACACCTTCACCCGTGACCACGGATACTAGTAACAATTCCTCCCCGTTCCATCTCAACACTGCGGTTGTAAACCCTACCGAATTGTTTGCCTCAATGAGGATCACAGGTGTAAATCGCTTTTTGCCTTCATACTCAGGGGACCCACTTACGCTAAATGAATTTAATAACAACGTTGAGGTAATAATTCTAATGATCAGGGGCACGGATCAGAATTCGTATGGACAGCGCGCCGAAAAACTGCCTGTCAAGCAGGCAGGAGATAACGAAGATGATGAAGAGGGAAATATAAATATAATATGTAATTTAGGCAGGTGTTACAACTCGAGTTCTTTTTGACTCTTTTGCCCTCTCTTTATCCTAACTCCGCTCCCAGCGACTTAGGCGGGTTTAATAATTATCTCGGGGGACTCTTAGGCCTTTGAGACCCCTTATGCGACGATAATTTCCCTCCCGTCGGATGACTTCGCTCTTCTTTTGGGTGTCTTGATGAATTGTTCCCTCTACAGAGCAACGGCCGGATCCAATATCGGATACTAAGCGCCAAACCTAAATCAAAAAAAACACTTTTGGGTCTGCCATTTCTTATTCTTACTAACTCTGTTGCCTCTTCGTCTCCGAAAATTCTTACCCCAATCGCGGCACCCAACTGACCACTAGATGGCGACACTTTCGGTTTTTGCCTTATAGATGGCACTGCCCATCGATTTACCTGCCACAAGCGTTACAACCCTTCTTGTCTATATAGCTGAAAATAATTTTTTTTTAGAAGTAAATTAAAAGCATATAAAATAATTGTTGAAATTTCATAAAGAAATGAAAAATCCATAAATAATCGTTTTAAAATAGTTTTTAAAATTAATGCTGGCAATAATAAAACTCTTTAAGCCTTTTTTTTTGTGGGATACAAACAACAATCTTCAAATAAATTTCAAAGACTACCTCTCATACACAAATGAAAAATTGTATATTTAATTTTATAATTATTTTATAGTTTATAGTTTGCCATACCAAACGGTATAATTTATATTTAATCAATTTATGTTATAAATAAATTATGTTAAAGAATGTTTTGATTAAAAATAAATAAATTAAAGATTCAAATTTTGTAATCCTAAAACATAAGTCATTTCAAGCCGTGCAAGGTGTTAAATTTATAATGCAAAATAAAATATATCGAATAAATACAGTCCACTAAATTTATATTGGAATTTAATCAATTATGTAATTACAACACATACACCACAGTTTGCCGGCCCTTGCCAGAATGTTCAGACGAACACTGATAAATATTATGTCTAAGATTTAATGAGCTCTGCACATGTCATGTAGAACTGTGTAATTCGATCAAGAGCCATAATTTACGATCTGGGACCCGACAAGGGTTCAGTTTTTCAAATACACTTGTAATCTGTGACAGCAGGCCACTTGAGCTATCTAATATTATCGCTCCCAGATGTGCCTTCACCGAGAGTTCTTGTGCGGGGGGGCAAAAAAAAAAGAACTCCCCCGCCCAGACTAAAAAGATTAGGTCTCTACGTAGACCATAGCTAAGATTAGAATAAAATTTTCACATAAGTTTCTTGTAAAGAAGTTTTAAATAAAATGAAACAGTTTCAATACAGAACTCAAACAAAAAGGTTTTATTTATTTACTATCCTTTATATTTTGATCCTTCGAGCAACTCTACAGTTTTCCCCCACCAGTGGTAAGAGACTTAGAGGAAAGCCAGCACCTTAATTGACTCTTGTTTTCCCCTTTATGGTAAGAAACAGAGTATAAATTTAAAAGCAAAAGGACAAATAAGAGTCCTTATGTTTAAAGCAATTTTCAAAAATAATAAAAAAATAACATATTTTTGTGAAATTGTGGTCCAGAAATCGACAAGTTAAATTAAAAAAAATATAATAAATTGTCATCGAACAATTTTGTTTTGAGGCGTTTTCGTGGCCTTACAACAACGAAAAAATAAAAGATTAAAAAAAAAACAAAACTTAAATCATCTTTAAAAACAACAACGAAGACCCTCAAAGAGACGACAACTGAAGGAAGGCGAGCAGGATCAACAACAGGAGCGGCAACAGAGACAAGGACAACGGCAACAGCAGCAACAACGACCATCAGCAACAACAGCCGCAATAACAAGCGCATCAG